CCCTCCTTTTCTCTCTTCAGAGACAGCAGGCCTTCAAATTCTCACCCAGTGGCCCTCTTATTTTTGATTCAGTCTAATCTAATGACTTACAAGTTTTGCTCTGGACACTGGATAGTGGAAAAACAAAAGAAAAGCAGATTGTGTGATCGCAAACCCTGGTAGGAACAGAATGGCAAATTCCATTCCTTTTATAACTAGACCATTAATTATCTTCCTGTCTCTAGAGGCATGGATCACATGTCTTAACTTCACTTTTATTTTTAGTAGCTGGAATATGCACTTCCATGCTTTACCTGATGCTATGTAAGCACAGAAGAGAGATCTTTTTAAAGGATCAATTATGAAGTAAGATGATGTCTAAGTCATCTAACTGACAAGCTCCCTCCAAGAACAGCCCTAACATTACGCAATTACATAAAGATCTAGAGGCTAATTATGCTACATACTGGCTTACTAAATTGTAACCTACATTTTTGCAATCTGACAACCCCCTTGGTATTATGAATTTGTCTCTTAAGCAAACTTCTGATACAATCTGAAGTGTAATTAGGCAGTCCTTTTATGCTACCAGTCACAGTTTTAAGCCTGTTTTGTTATAGTATTTGAAGTGAACTTACGTGGGGAAATGTGATTGTTTTCCATGGAGAATACTTCTAAGCAACATGGTAATTGTCACCAGTTAGACTGGTAGCTTGTAACGCCATATTATATTAAGGCAGGCAATCACCAATACACCTAATTGTTTTTAGTTGTTTTAATGGTGATAAAAGAAAAAAAGCTATGTGGCTGATATGTAGAAAGTTGAACTCCTTGGGCGTAAACTCCATTAGGGTCCTTATTTCTCCCTGTAATTTACAGAGCACCACTGTATATCAAGCAGCATCCTCAATGATGAACACATGAACATGGGAATATGAATGGTGGACACATGAGCATGGGAATATGAATTATGAACCAAGGAAGACAGAATTAAACTACATCAATCACGTCTTCAAAGACTAAAATGATATAGAGAAAATACTACAAGAGACAAAAGAAATTTCTGTGGGAGTTCAGGTAGCAAAATCGCAGGAATATAAAAGGATCTCCTACGGAGTTGAGCAAGCAATCGTATTGTAGGGTTCAGCTCAGACTCCTCACGGATCTATCACCTTGGCATTTTGTAGGGCAGAGAAGACAGGAAAGGCTCTCTGGCCTCCTCCAGCCTTTCTCCCCTTAAAATGTCATGAGAGTGCTCTGTGACCTTCTGCTAGTGGGTCAGAAGTCTGTCCTTCAAGAGGGAACCTCCCTTTAAGGGAAGAGAGAAATGCCATTCCTCCTGAGGACACTGAGGGGTGCAGAGAAGAATCTGGACAAATAGGCTTTAGTAAGTCAACATTCCACTGAATTAAGTCGGAAACACCGTGCCCATCACACTCCTCCGGGATACCCACTTACCACCAGTTTAGCATCGAAATGTACTAGGTTCCTGGCTCCCTGACTCTTCATTTCCCTTGAAGTCTCTCCCCTGGTACCACGTGGGATTTGTATTAGTTAAATTTGCATGCTATTATTTTGCTAGTCTGCCATTTACTGTAGATGTCTTAAACGTGTACATAGCTTAGCACTGTGGATGTAAATTTCATTTTCCAAACTGAGAATTTAGACAGTGTGATCTTTAATATCCTTTCCAAACCTGATTCCACAAAATATACTAAAAGGGTTTTCTCTCAGGGTTGTTTTTCTGAGTACAAACTATGTACTATTCTATATTAACTGCATAGAATAATATATAACTACAATTTAACTAAGTAATATATTAGCTATACTAGCATTATAAAGCTAAGACTTGTGCTAGTTGAGCCTAACATTTGCAGAGCTGTGTGCCGCCGTTCTGGGAGAGGCCCTTCTCGGAATATACAGTAAATGCTTAACTATTTCATCCAAGGCAGAGTTCAAAGACTTGGTGATAAGTAAAATATTTAGCATTTCCCTAGTTTTTAAATGGAGAAAGAACAATATAGAGTTAGAACTTTTAAATTAAGATAATTTGACAAGTTTGATAAAAAAAAGCAATTAACTCTGACAAAAACAGAAAATGAAAGCAACACATGTGACACATACAAACTCTGGAATAGAAAATACACTTATATAATGTGATGATAATAATAAATGAAGTTTAGACTTCAAGAAAATTTTAATGAGAAATTAAACATGTATGGCTACCATTTTAAAATACAAGTTCTACATGTTATTTATTAAATGCAACACAGATATTGCTCTCGACAACATTGAACTGATTTTTAAATTGCTTTTAAATTAAACTAAATTGAAAAAAAAGTATTAGAATTCAAACGTATCTTATAGTCACTCAAGATGTCAACGGCCATTCTCGGTTCACGTGAAGCTGTGAAAACAAAGGCACTGAAGAGACTTGCTGCCTGACTCAGCGCACAGACACGCATGGCAGTGCTAACCATCCATTCCCTCTGTGTCCACCCACGGCATCTTCGTGAGTGTTGGAGATGAAAACTGAGCTTGCACACACTAAGCGCACGCATACCCCACCACTAACTGTGGCAGCAGAAAAAGGCAGGCACACTATGGTACGCATGAAAGCCAGCGTAAAAGCTGTATCTTCAAAGACTGCTTCGGCCTAGATGTGTCCAAATTTAGATCCGTTAACTGTCCTTTTTTTTTTCTCAACCACATTTTAATAGTCTCCCTTCATGCCATCACCTGAAATATTTTCCTTGTTTTCAACTCCTATAAATCACATTTGTCTCTCTTGTAATCTCTTCAGCTCTTTAAAAAATACCTTATTTTGTTTGCTGTTTATATGAGACAGGGCCTGAGACTGACTCAGACTTACAGTGATCCTCCCGCCTCACCCTCTTGAATGCTGTGACTACAAGGGTGAGCCACCTTGCCCACCTTAAATCCCAAATTTTATCAAAACATAAGGCACCACTGATAGCAAGACTCTCTTGTGTGACACTAAGGAGACAAGCCTGCCAATTAAACTGGCATGAAAGTTTATTACTGATATTTTTATTAAGAAGATTCTTGTAGAGGTTTGGGCATAAGTTTCTGCCATATAACTATAACATCTATGCATGTTTCAAGCACAAAACAAATGAGAAGCAAACAACCTGGACACTGTTGCAGGTGTGTTCCCAGCCACTCTGCTTCCTTTCTGTCATTTTTGAAGTAATCCTCTTCCCCTACCATTGTCTTTGCCTCTCAGACCATGGATAACGCAGAATTTCTCCTGTCTCAATAATTTTTTTCCAAGCCCTGACATTTTGCAAGTTGTAGAATGAAAAACTGTTGTGGTTTACTAGAAGACACCAAGGAAAGGTCTCAGACAAAAGCTACAGTTCACGTTTTTTTTTTTCTTGGCTATGGGGTTGGTTGACTGAGTCATGATGGGTAGTATCTGTTCAGCCATTACAAAAGGAATCAAACTTGTACCTCGACAAGGACTGAGACAGAGTCACAAAGCATACCCTGCTCATTTGAATAGCACACCACTGTTGAATGCCCATACTAAGTTGACGTAGTGTGCCAAATTGCAAGACAGGTTTCCAGTAAACATCAAATGCAAACGACCATCCTCCTTGGAATCTATGGAACACAACATTGAATCACCTTCTTACAAACAGGAAATCAGGGTGCGAAAATCTCCTAATAACCATAAAATGCCATTGCCAGTAGGTGACCAAGCCATGAATCAAACCTAGGTCTCACGAAATACTGTTGTGGGTCCCACATCTGTGGGGACACCAGACCTTGAGCAGAAACCCACTTCCCCTTCTGCCTGGGAGCAGGCAGCTGTGTAATGTTTACTGAAAACAATTCAGTGCTTTAAAGCTCTTGATAGGGCTCAGATAAGGGCTTGCTCACTGAGATACCATGACTTTCACACCCCCTATGGCTAGATGCCTCTTCCTGTTTCCCTGTGGTGTCTCCCCGATTCTGGGGCCGGAGATTAAACCACCAGCCAGGAGGGTGAGAAGTCTGGAAAGAATGGTATGTAGATGAATGGCAGAAGTCCTTAAAAAGGGAAGCTCCTTTTTCTTAGAGAGACTTCTCCTGAGACTTCTCTCTCCTAAGTGGACTTGGAATCTCCTCCTAAGCTGACTTGGGAAACATAAAGTTTTTCTTAAAGCAACCGACCGGTCTCTGTGTCATCTATCCTGACCACCTCGCTACATTCTCGGATGCAGGCCGCACAGCAGGTGCGACACACATCTGGTGTTTAACTTTCTTTTAACCTTCAGAGCATTTATTGAATAGATTTGTGCAAAATAGTATCTACCCACACCTTGATTCTATTTCCTACTAAAGCATGTGTTTCTTTAATGTGCATTTTTGCTTCCTGTTTACTACTGATTTTCTGTTGGATTGGGTAAATGTACACGATCATGACAGTGTTACATTGACTAGAATCAATATGAGAGTTTCCTGTCATTAACTCTTTGATTTCTACCTTGGCTCCTTCAGAGGTTTGCCTCCAACATTTTTGAAGATGCCAAGCACGCATCACATATATAGCTACAGTGGCCAAATATGTATTTATCTCTTTGCTCTAGTTTCATACACTTACTGGAACTTTCTTTTTGGATAACGTAGAAAGCACTTTTCATCTTTCATCTGTGTCACACACAATTAACTGGAAACAATCCAACTGCTATATTGTCGTTTTCACTTGATTTTTTTCACAATAGAAATATGCAGCTAAATTTACACCCACCTTAAACAACCTTTAAAAAGCAAAGTTATACATATTCAATCGCCTTTGTAATGTTTCGCGGAACCAAAACTGGACATCATATGATTGTGATGGTATTTAGTTTGGTGACTTTGAATCTGCCATGTGGCTTGCTCTTAGGTTTGTATAGTCAGCCGTACACATAACTGATTTTATATAATGTAATTTTTATGACTAATTGAATGTTCTCTTTGCCTTGAGGTTCCTTAAACAATCTACAATAAAGCTTACAACAAAGAACACTGGATTCTGAAAGACATTGTGGCTTTTATTCGTGTTGAAAAAGAATATCACCGAGAATAAAAAAATAAACATGCTAATTCCAGAGTCAAATTTGACCACACCAGGCTTACTTAGCAGGGAAATATTTCTATCCATTTCAGCTCAGCTCTGGTGAGGTGGTCATGCCCGTGAGCCTTTGCCGGCCCCTTCCAGTTGTTTGTGTAACCCGTCACAGAACAGTTTGTGTTGTCCCTGCTTCTATCAGCGTGTCCATTAGACTGGATGCATAGTCTGATTAATTGTGTATCTAATGAGGATTTTCTTCTTCCTTGCACAACAGAATGAGGAAAAGTTAAGAACTGTGCCTCTTGCTGCATCTTGAACCCATGTGACAGAAGACCCAGAGCGTGGCAGAGTTTATAGGTGGTGGCTCCTCTTTACGCTCACTGGGCATGGTTGACATGTGTGCTGTGACATTTGCGTTTTAGCAGATGGGGGTTTGCTTTTGAACGATAAGAACGTGGAAGCTCTCAAGTTGCATTCTGAGTGGTTCTGCTCCTCTGGATAAAATACAGAACACAGAGAGAGGGGGAAGAAAAGAAGACGTTTTAATCACTCGACAATACTCCATGGATCTTTTATGCTGTCAACTGTATTGGTGTCCTTGGCATACCAAGCGTGCTTACTCATTATCATCTGGGACTGCGCGCATTTAATGATGGTTTTTTATGTGCAATTGTAGAGCGGCTTCTCTTTCTAAGAGCTGGGTCTGGAACCGAAGTAGGGTGATTTCATCCTCTCATATTGTAACTCAGAAGGACTTTTTTTTTCTACCGTTAAGTTGCTGTTTTCTGTTTTATTTAGCATCTGCACCGTCAAAATGTCTTTAACTTCCTTGCAGCATTTTTGAGGGAATATTTGTGCCAAACTCACTTTCCTTGGAAAATAAGTCAATCATGTCCCTTTTTTCCCTAAGCTGGTAGGATAAAGACTACTTTTTGGTTTGGGGTTTTTTTTGTTTTGTTTCTTGGAGTGTTTGCCTGTTGAGACCAAGTCTCAGCATATAGCTCTCGCTGGCCTGGAACCCTCCTTGTAGAACAGACTGTTCTTGAACTTACAGAGATCCACCTACCCCCCAGAGCCTCCTAAGTGCTGGTGTCAAAGGCATACAGCACCAGACTAGACTGTTGTCAACGCTGTTTGCTTTGTTTTGTTTGCCAAATTGGAAGCAAGCTTTAAGCAAATACTGGCCAGGTAGATAGACTCTCTGGCCAGGTCCATCTCTTGGTTTCCAGAAAGTGGTCCAGAGTCAGGGTTTGCAGGGGCTCAAAAAGGCAAAACTGACAATTCACATCTCCCCTCAGGTTCAATCAGGGGCAACCATGCAACCTGCATACGTACCTCCCACCCACATGTGATCAAGCACACGGGGTGTAGTTGGGTCAGACAAACTTGTTTAGGGGAACGAAAACATGTGTCTTATCATCTCCAATGAACAGCCAGCCTTTAGAATCTCAAGAAGTATTTGTCCTCGGACAAGGGGCTTATAGATCAGAGGCATTTTTTTTTTGTTTCGTGATCTCTTAGGCACAGTAATCTCTTGAGACTTAAAATGTAACTTTGGTTTCACATTCCCTCCTTGAGCTGAATCCTGAGTCAAAAATCTTGATTCTGTGACGGAGAACTGCTTATTTTGGGATTCAATAGCCGCCAGCTTCATGGTACCCAGACAGGAAATATCATTTAGTTAAGGCATCAATGATGTAAGGGTCAGCAGCAATTAGCCCATGGGCCAAAGACCCTGGGATAGATGACGTCAGAGTTACTATCTAGAAGGGGCTTGGAAATGAGAATGGGGATCAGTTATTTACTTCACTTCAGGTCAGCCCGTGGTGACACATTACTTATGATCTCATAAAGCTTGCATGGAGATCAGAGTACAAAGCTGCCAGCCACTAGCTCTTAACCTCTGCCTCAGCTGGGAAGATCCTGTCTTCCCTGTGACTGGAAACTGAATCTCACACGAGATCCTTTGCTTCTTCCTTATAGACCTCTCCAGTGCTGGGGTTAAAGGCATGAGCTCTGTTTCTCTTTTAGACTGATTCTCTCTTATGTAGCCCCTGGTTGGCCTTGAACTTACAGAGATCCATCTGCCTCTGTCTCCTGAGTCCTGGGATCAAAGTTGTGCGGCACCACTGGCAGGATTCTGCGGTTAACTAGTGTCCTGGCCTTGCACTCTGACCTCCAGGCAAGCTTTATTAGATCATAAACAATATATCACCACATACCGCACTTTTTTTGTAATGATTTTCTTTATTACAGCCAGATTATCGCTAATGATTCCTGAGTAGTTTATATAGTTTCTTTTAAAGCTATACAATAACCTCTCTGTTTCACATGGAGCTGGTCAAGTGCCCTATCATATTTAGAACTGTTTCAGCTAGTGAATCTACCTGTTGATAGATCTGGTCTGTTTGGTTCTAACATGTACCTTTCCCCATATGCCAAAAGGCACTGTAGGTAACCGTTTTGTCCCCCATGCCAGGGGTTTCCTTTTGATCCAACATTCCAGTCTGTTGGCAGACAAGGGGCAATGCACTCTCTTCTTTAACCGCTTGATGTCTCGTTGTTTAAAAAAAAGCCTTTAAACTTGCGGCTGCTGATATTAAAAATGCACAGAAACCTCAAACCTGCAAAGACGTCCTAAGGGTGGGTAGGCCGCTACCTTCGTTCCTTCTCTGTGACCTGCATCCACCCATGCAGTGCTCAGCCCCACTCGCATGCTGAAATCATCCTCTCGGGTAGCTAGGACCTCAAGATTTACAGTTCAATACATAAACTCCAGCTCCCGAGTTTAATACTATGAAGTCATTTTCTTACGCGATTTCTCCTCCTCAGTGACCCACTCACAGTGGATATTTTCATGCCCACATGTTGGGGAAGTCCTGTGCATTTGTCAATAAAGAATAAAGCACTGTCTAGCCAATAGGGAATCTAGATAGGAGGGACTAGGAGTCCAGGAGAACTCTGGGTAGGAGAAACACTGAGAGTCAACATGTAACGCCATTGGGGTAGGAGCCCGGAACTATTCTCCGGTAAGAGACATACTTAGATTAACAATTATGGGGTAATTACTTAAAGCAGAGCTAGCCAGTAAGAGACAAGCAAGGCCAACAGCTTCATAATTAATATGGCCTCCTGTGTGTTTATTTGGGACTGATGCCGATCTAGAACCAGGCGGGTGGGAAGGCATTCTCTCAAGAAAAAGCTTCCTTAACAAAATGTTGATCAGGAGTGGGATCATGAATTTCCACGCAAAATAACAAAAGCTTTAAAGGAATTTTAGAAACAGAAGAACGGAGAGAAGCACAGATTTTTGGTAGCAGCATTTTTCTCAGGTGTGCTCTGTTTTGCTAGCCACAAGCCGAGATTCACGCGGCTCACTTACTGGAGTCTTCCTGACTAGGCATAAAAAGAAAAAAAAATCAGCCAGCAAGGTTGTTTTAAGAGACTCTGCTAACGATTGAAAGGTGTGTACGTACAGCTGGAAGTGGCAGCTTTTGCTGGATGTCAGCATGGACTGAGGCGGTAAGCTGGAATCACGCTTACGCCCGCCCGCCATCTTGAAGGAAAAACCGGCAGTTTAAAACAGCCGCGGTTTTACAGATAAGACACATGGCCAGAAAAACGTAAAGATTTACAGTAAAGTCAGACTTGGATAAAGAAAAACCTCTAAAGGTTTACAGTGTGTTTAAAAATATACATAAGATTGAGAGAGAAAATAAAGAAGCCAGCTGTGGTGGCGCACGCACGCTGGTAGGAATTGCTCCAGAGGCAGAGGCAGGCAGGTTTCCAAAGAGAAACCCTGTCTCAGAGAAAAATAAATAAAAGTGAAAGAAATAAAGTAATAATAGATAAATAAATAAGCCACGTAAAGATGGAAAATACACAGAGAGTCTGGATACTGTATGCTATTGTGTTTTTCAGTTTTTTGATTGCTAAGGAAGGAACAAATGCTAAAGTACACTTGATTATAAATGCTGCTGAATTAATCCAACTTCTATCTTTTGAAAATGCCTTGACTTCAAAATTTAAGTATAAGGATATGTTACTCGGAAAAGGAGTTTTTATTTATGTTTCTACAGAAAATGAAAAGCTGAGGATTCCTTCCAGGCTTCTGTGGTTCGTCGAACCACGACCCCCGGAAGCAGTGGACGAGGTGTTCCAACAATTGAGACAGTTAAGATGATACAGCTTTACAGACCCCGAAAATATGGACTTATACAGGTTTCTGAGTTTTGTCATGATCCCCATGGTATAAACAGCGCCCCCTTCCAGCAGGAAGCAGTTTGGAATGAGCGACGTCCCAATTCCCATCTTGTTTATAAATCTTTGTTTTCATTTAAATGGGATTGTTTATAATTGGCTAATGATCACAGCCAATCTCCTTTTAATGGTAAAAAGGAAAATTATGGTATGGGTATTATTTTTAATTTATTGATACAAATTCAAGGTCAATTTTGTGATACTTATATTTCTCCTCTTGATTAAGTATTGTGCTTATACTGATCTTTTAAAATGTAATACATAATTGAATACAGACTATAGATAGTTACTTATAATAAAATTTATAGTTAGGTAAGTTAGGTGTTCTAGATATACAAAAATATATTTGAGATAGATAGACAGTCTTCAAACCTCTCAAAGACCTTCAAAACATGGCATTTAAAATGGTTTAGGGTTTTTCTTGACAATGAGAAATGTCTGCTCCTGGCAGCACCAATTACGTATGAGAGGAAGATGGGCATTGAAGAAACTTGTTACGGAGTTTGCTTTCAACATGGCAAGATTAGCCATTTGGGCAAGAAACTGCTCTTGCCTGTACTGCTTGACTGTTGCTGTATAATCTGGACATGCAGGACCCACAGGAAAGTGACTGCTGAACTCAGTCTTACAGGGTTCCTGCTTCATGAAAGAGTCTAAGAGACTTTCTACAGGACAAAGAAAAATGACTGACAGACTGCCAGCGCAGATGGACAGTTTGAAATTTCCTGCTTTGCTGAGAAGTGTTCCAGACACATTGTGGCCTATGGGCTGAAGATGGATGCCCCAACGTTACAGAGGAACTTCGGGTGACTGTCCAGGCAGTAAGATACCTCTGTCAATCCTAGTGTTTATATATTATCCTTCTGTGGTCTTTGATGGAGTTGAAGACAGATAGCTATAATTATAGTTTTCCTTAGTTATGATAAGAAATAAGCTACATATAGGACTTTGGACTCACAAGAATGAGATAGATGATATTTTCTTTAAATCTTGCTAAAATATTGTAACTATGTTCTTACTTGATAACTGTTCTGTTATATACAATTTGACTATGCTAATGTTAAGACCTTTCTTTTTGTTTAAACAGAAAAGAGGAGATGTTGGGGAAGTCCTGTGCATTTGTCAATAAAGAATAAAGCACTGTCTAGCCAATAGGGAATCTAGATAGGAGGGACTAGGAGTCCAGAAGGACTCTGGGTAGGAGAAACACTGAGAGTCAACATGTAACGCCATTGGGGTAGGAGCCCGGAACTATTCTCTGGTAAGAGACATACTTAGATTAACAATTATGGGGTAATTACTTAAAGCAGAGCTAGCCAGTAAGAGACAAGCAAGGCCAACAGCTTCATAACTAATATAGCCTCCTGTGTGTTTATTTGGGACTGATGCCGATCTAGAACCAGGCAGGCGGGAAGGCATTCTCTCAAGGAAAGCTTCTCTTAACACCCACATACATGACCAACAGTCACCAGAACACCATCTGCCTTTCCATGTCTTCAGTAGCTACACCAGTGATACAACTCTTCATAAGCAGTGGCATGGGGCCAGCGTATGAATCGGCCCCCGTCAGTTCTTTACTGGAATCCAACGGACCCTCTCTCCTCGTCTGTCCTTGGCACTCAGGCCAGAGTGAGCAGGATCACATCACCACCCAGTTTAACAGCTTCCAACGGTACTCTTGGAAGTCTATGGGCGAGACATACAATTATGTGCATGATTTCAGAAATGGACTCACGTCTCACAGGCAGTTTCAGCGCTTCACAGGCTTCCAGCAGCACTTCTGGCTGGTTCCCTCCTTGCTCAATGCCTGTGGAGCCTGCTCCTTTCCCCCACTGGCCTTGGCTACCTCGTTCTAGGGGCGTTCCCATCAGCTTGCTGGCCTGTTTCATGTCACCTTGTGACCGGAATCATTACAGTTCAGGCATGTTTGTAGTTGGTGAGTCATTATATCTCATTGCAAATCCCTCCCCCACCCCTGCCCCCGACACACACACACACACACACACACACACACACACACACACACACACACTGTCTCTTAGTTCCTTAGCAGGAGGAAATACATTCAATTTCTGGACCGTTCTCTACACTTTGCACAAAAGAACTCAATGTCTGATGGATTTTCTGTTTGAAAAATTATCAGAAATAGTCTGCTAGTGTTTCCGAGGCACTTTCTTCACTGAAAAACACGGGTGAGAGTAATTTGTCTTTTGTTGTCAACTCACACAAAACCCAGAAGGTTAATGACAGCTCGAGAATAATGAAAAGGTCAAAGCAAAACCATGAAATACCCACTGATAAAACGGGTGGAAATTGTTGATTTCCTCTGCTGATAACCTTATTCGTTACCTTTCAAGCTTGTATGCGTGTTCCATTGACCTCTGCATAGAGGCAATATTTTAATTTTTATGAGATTTATTTTACTTGTAATGGTGTGAATGTGTGTGGGTATCTGCGCAGGCCCAGAGTGTCAGGAAGCTCTGAGACTGGCATTATTGCCTGTAGTGAGCTGCTCAACACTGGGGCTGGGCTGGGCAGTACTCGTCACTCTTAAGCAATCAGCCGTCTCTGCCAGCCCTGATACGTGATTTTGTGTCTTCACTTAAAATGTCAAGTGCTTAAGACTTGGCAAATGCAGGATAAGAACACATTCTGATTTCACCATCTGAATGAGAATGACCACGCCCCCCTCACAGGCAAAGTTGAAATACTTGGTCCCTAGTTGATGGGACAGTGTGGAGGGACTATGAGGCGTGATCTTTTTGAAGGGGGCGCATCACTGGGGGGTGAACACTGAGATTGCAAAATACTGGGGTCACTCCCAGTGTTTCGTTTCTGCTTCCTGGTCATGGAGCAAGATGCACGCTCTCAGCTACCGCAATGCCACGCCTTCCTGCCTGCTGCCCTGTTTCTCACTATGATGGTCATGGGGTCCGCCTCTGAAACTACAAGACCCTGAATTAAATCCGTCCTTTCATGAGTTGCTTTTGATGTCTCTTCGCAATACTCAAAGTAGCTAAGGAAATATGGGTTTGCAGACTGTAACCAAAGAATCTCCAGTCGCTCGGCAGTGGCTCAGCCTGACAAAGGGGGAGAAAATGATGCAAAATGTCTCATTTCAATAGCAAACCCATCAGCATTCCACCTTCCGCGTGCATCAACAAATGGGAAGGTTTGAGGCAGTGACTCTCGGCTACCTCATGCATTCATCATTTCAGTGCACAGAAGGCAATCTCAAGAAATGCAGGATAAAATAAAGAGCACATATCAGGACCTGAGAAGGATTTCACTGCTTCGTTTTGTTTTAAATTATTGTTATTTGTTTAGAAGAGGTTTGAGTCAGAAAGCAAAAAGAGTATGTGCAGCTGTTCATGTACTTTTGTGAGACACATGCTACTGTAAGTAAGCACTTTGGTACACAGAATAATTACAGATATTTTAATGAGAAAATTATTATGTGACTCTGAATTAATTAAAAATTGTCATTACTTACTTAATGGTATAAATTAATAAGGATGATGGCAAATTGTTCCTCATAAAGCAGGAAAATAAAAGCAATATGTAAAACATTTCAATATTTTTAAATTGATGAAGACATGTTAAGTAATTATCAAGGAGGAATCATGTTCCTAAAACTGTGCAGCTAATAAACTACAGAAATAGCTGGAGTCGCTTGAAGAAAATTAATACATTAACATGAAAGACAGAAAATGCATTTGCTGTGAAAATATAGTGCCAGGTAATCAGAAAAAAACACAACTTTTAATTACTATAAATAAGGCATAGTATTAAAAATGCTATGAGGAGGCATAATTTTTTCTAGAGAACAACTGAAATACATGTACACATCTTTGAATATGAAAATTCATTTCCAGGCAGGCTTTGATCCTAGTTACATTTCTGGTAATCTATACAGAAATGTTCAATGGTATCTGAAAGCAACCCAATTTCCAGTCTCAAGAGATTATAGAATACAGTGTAGTATGTATATGAAAAATAATGCTATTCTTTCATTATAGCTGCATGTTTATTCATTCAAAGTACATTTCTTTAGTGTTTGTTTAGTTCAAAGTAGTTAGCCTAAAACAAACAAAATTAATGTTGCGTTTTTGCTTGGTAGTACATACCCATAAATGTATGCACATTGGAAGAAATAAGTTTAAAAAAATCAATATGAAGGCAAGGAGTAGCTAGGTGTTGGAGCTCTTGTCTAGAATATGCAAGACCCTGGGTTGAGTTCTCTGCACCACAACAGAGGTACACTAAATTTATATCACAACCTATATCCTTTATTTTTATCCAGATATAGGTACATGTTTATGTTCATCAAATTCATATTTCGTAACAAAATACACATGCATATATGAGTAACAAGAACTCAGGAGCCACCCAGGCTAATTTGCTGCTAATGCAAACAGATACTCTTTCTTGGTTTTGCCATCACAGTTTAGGCATATTAGAAGTAGAGGAGTCATTATGTCTTGTCACTTCAAATCATTTTATCTGTCGCCATAGTAAATACCCGAGGCTTGAAAACTTCCTAAAGGAGAGAGGTTTATTCAGCTCCTAAGTGTGTCGTGCCAAAAGCATGGCACTAGTCATCACCTTAACTCTGGTGGAGATCCCATGCCGTTATCACACAGAAAAAAACCACAGAAAGACATCCAAGGCCAAGGCTGCATCTTTTATAACAGCGCTCGCATAGGAGCTGAGGCTCCCACAGGAATCATTCTGATTCCTCCACAGGACTGCATCCTCAGCACTCTCCAAACTCCACCCCACTCTCAGATTCCCCACAACAAGGGTCAAGCTTCCAACACAAGAGCCTTTGGTGGACAAACTAAAGCCACTTCTAAGCCATCTTCCTGACTCATGAGACCTTCTCTGAGAGGAATTTTACTTCTCATGCCTGTCACGGTCAGTTCTAGAATCCCGCATCCTCTGCCTTTTATCAAGAAATCATCAACTTAAAAAAAATGTATCATACAAAAAAAGATAATCCAAAGTTAAATTTAATTAACTGGGTAAAATCACATGAGATTAAAAAAAATGAAGCCTATATTTAGAGTTCAATTCTGTCTGACAGTTGATGAACACGAATGCTTTGCTGTAGGGATAATAGCAGCAGTGAATTCATATTCGGTGCTGCCTCAGTATCTGCCAGTATAGTATTCTGTATATGTCATATAGCTGTCAAACTCCTCAGACCTCATGACAGTCTCTTTGTTGGTCTGCTTCACAGGGAGGGAGCACTGGGGTACGATGGGAGTGAACCTAGGAGGAGTTAGGGAGAAGCAGACACGAAAACACTCAAAGCACATTGTATGAAATTCAGAATGAATTGATGATTTTTTTAAAAAACAAAAACCAGATAAATTTGTTCCTGCTTACAAAGTTAGTGGGGAGAGATGAAACAGGGAAATCTTGGTACAGGAGACTGAGCCAAGCTCTCAGAAGGTCTGCTTCCCCCCACACAAAGACATTCAGCTATTTTGGGGCAGGGGAAAAACGTGAAATTAAAAAACCAGACAACCGAGAACATAAATAGTCAAACTATCAAGAAAGTAATGCTGTATCACGAGTGCATAGGAAGGAGGCTAGGGGGCTAATTCAGTACCAGACCTAAGCAGCTGAGTGTGATCCTGATCCAGGCTGCAAAAGTCAAACGATGATTAGACCACATGCACCCTGCCACCCAGGGCAAGGTCTGTCTCTTAGGAATATTTGCACACAGCCTGCACGCTCCCCTGTGCGTGTCCACTAGCTCAGCTAGCCCTGCCTTTACTACTCTTAGCTGAAGGGGTTCAAACTTCATAATTTCCCGAATTTTATCAAAAATCCTCTTCTTCAAGAGGTTTATGTGAAGGAATGTTTCAGTGAGAGATTTAGATACAAGGTTCTATCATCATAAATTTTTGAGTTCTGTGCTATGTCCTCTCCTATCCTAACACATTAAATAGTAACACTAACAAGAAAAAAATATATATACATACACATACATACATACACATACACTACACACACACATACATACACATACATACATATATATTTTTTCTTTAAGATTTCTGGGAACACACTAGATACTCACGCCGGGATATTCTTTGCTCTACTGCCTCCATACGCAGCCCCTTCTGTCCTACTCTGTGTCCCGGGAGGGAAATTAGAAAGTCACTTCAGCAAGCTCTGTTATGCTCTGTCTTAAGTCTCTCCTCTGTTGCTGTGAGAAAACACCTATGACCAAGGAGACTGCCAGGAAAGAAACGGCTTAACCGGGGCGGGGGTTTGCTTTCCGTTTCTATGGTCAGTCTTCACGGCGGGGAGCGTGGCAGCACACACGTGGCCTTGGAGAAGTAGTTAGGAAGTACATTCTGAACTGCTGGCGAGGGCAGGGTGGGTTGGAAAAGACTGGGCCTGGTGTAAGCTTCTGACATCTCAAAGCCCACCCCCCAGGGACACACTTCCTCCAACAGGGCCACACCAAATTCTTCTCCAGTCTTGCCACGCCCTGCCCTTATGACTAAGCATTTAAACATGTGACTGTGGGGTGGGCAGCGTAGGAAGGGGTGAGCATTCTTTCCCAAACCACCCCATGTTCTGATTTCAGGTCCTTCTCTCTTGCAGGCTTCCTCAGCCCTCCTCCTACTTTGTCAACAGACCCTTGGTTTTCGCAAAAGCTTTGTTTCTCTCCCAGCCTTTGTGTTTATTTCATACGTGTGAGCGCCACCTGCCGTGTGTGTGTGTGTGCGTGCGTGTGTGTGTGTGTTTGTGCATCGTGTAGGTGCAGTGACTGCGGAGACCAAAGGAGGGCGCTGTGTCGCCCGAGACTGGAGAGACTGAGAGTTGGGAGTCGCTGTGTGGGGCTTTCAAACGCTGAGCCAACAGTGTCTGATCAGTGGCCCTTCTGAGGATGCCGTCTCTTCTTTCTTCCTAGGATCGGAGCCGACAGAACGCTGAAAAATCTTTTTTGTTTCTGTTTTTTTTTGTTTTTGCCCTTTAAGAATGTAAACTACATTTTAATTAGTGAGGAAGGAAGGGGAGGGAGACAGACCTGCAGTGAGGACAGGGAGGTTCCCCCCCACGCCCCCCATCCCCGGTGCTGCTTCCCTAACCACTGGAATCATTTTCCTGCTCAGCCTTAGAGAGAGATGAACTCTACCCCTCCTTTCCTTGCTAGCATGAAGCCGGCCTCTCACCGGCTACACACAGCATCTCTTCTGGAGGTCTACATGCTTTCATTTCCGGCAGCCATGTTATACGTACCATGGCATCTTGTTTGCAGGCAAGGCATGAGTCCCAGAATCTCGGCAGGTCTCCCAGGTTGACTTCCCTTTCCAGAGCCACCAGTCTGAGTGACAAAGGCTTTGGAAGCAATGCCTTTTTCTCTTAAGTAGGCAAATTAATTAAAAGGAATTATGGATTCTTTGGGACATTCCCTCTAGGAAATAAGAAGCAAAACACTCTTCCAGTGATATACCATACTGTAGAGGAAAATCGTTTTCACTTTTGTCAGGAAAATACAGGGGCTATCTTTTTTTTCTTTTTGTATTATAATTGGCTTCCAAATTGAACTATAATGTTTATTTAAGAGTCTGGGTAAAAGCATCCACTCTGAAAAATCCTAAGACCTATTTTAAAAACAAACCTTTCTCAGTGGGATGCCATATTTCTAACCAGCCTTGCTTTTGCTTCCAGGGTTAACCAATCCTTCCCTTTCTGAGGCCAACATAAAAGAAAAGCAGATGAGTTGACCAACACTGTATTTCTTTTTCCCCAGAAGTGTCCTTATATGAAGAAGTAGCTTTTTGAAGGTACTGCATGAATTACCCTATGCCATCACAAAGTTTTGTGACCTTGGCCGAGGAAACCTACTTTTTAAAAATAACCTCTGTGTGAATGAATTGGGGACATAGTTTTATGTGATAAAGGGCATTGTTCCCCCAGCATTTGGTCCAATGCCCCTGTGGAGTTGACTTTCATCAGAGACATTCTCAGTACCAGGAATAGAGCATTTTCATCTCGAGCCCCCCCCCAAATTGGATTTAGAGCTTTAGAAATGGACAGACACATTTGCCAGCACAATGGCTTTATTTCCGAAGAAGCTTTCAAGACTGGCACTCCATTATCCAAGTTCTAAGTCCTTGGGTAGATTCTGACGTGTTGAGCAAATACAGTACGGGACCCAGAAGGCCCAGGTGCTTACCTCACCATGGTGAGACAACCACAGTTTTGACCATGGGCTGAATTCATTATCAAAGTAATTGTTCAGGGACAATACAAAACTGTAAGTTGGTTTTACCAATGGATGTCTCATCTGTAATTCTATATATAATTGACTATATGGCTACATCTGCTTTATTTTTTTATTCTACAAAATAATTCCAGAAATATCTTAAATGGAAATAGAACTACAAATTAGTAACATTGCCATCATTTTTAACACCGATTACCTAAAAATTACTAATTATGGATTTTTTGGTGGCAATAGGTTAAATAAACCTGGGGAAGGGGACACAGCAGGAAAACCATCCACACCCTTTTACAGTTAAGAGTGAAGAAATTCACCGTACATTTTGACTTTATATGTATTTTCTCGAGTTTTTATATTTCCTTCAACAGGTTGCCGTGTCGGCTGCGAGATTTAGGAGAGTGAGCCTTGAGATTCACAGTGGCCCTGGTTAAGTCTGTGTGTGCTAAATCCATTCAGACTGCAGCTGGCAGCCGTCCTTGGAGTCACTGTCCTTGAAGTCACAGCCTATAAAAGCCTGCCAAAACAACGCCCTGAAAAATTAATTGAAAAAAGTCTCTCAGTGATTGCGGTGCAGTGATTACAACACATTGTTTTGCATTTTTAAAAGCCACAAATTGAGGACAGAATAGGAGGATCCGAAGTTCAAGGTCGTCTTTGGCTGTGTGGCATCCAGCTTGGCATACGGGATGCTGTTGTTTGGGAACAAAGGACAGGGTGGGGGAGGGAGAGGGAAAGAGGGAAAGAGTCAAGGATGAGAAACCATATTCAAATCACCCCAGGTATAAACTCTTTCTAGACTGTGGCATCCCCGATTGACTGCTACCTAGTTTTATCAGGAAAAGTTATAATGAAAGGAACATTCAGGAGGCAAGACTGATTCATATACAGCCTACGTTGTCCAGTGATTGAGTGATAATGATGCCCGATAATGAGGTAGATTCAAGATCTATTCCTCAAATGAAAATTACAACACCACCCATTCATGCAGACACACTGAGACTCTTGAATCTCTAACCCTTATTTTAAGTGTTATCACAGTTTAATTCTTTACATGTTACCGCTGTACTGGTAGCCATCCCATGACCGTCAGAAGAAGCATTAGATTAGTGGTTGTCTCACTAAGGTCAAACAGAATTACAGCCTCAGTGAGGATGGACAACTACTAGACAAGAATGAGACCCTTGCTTATTTCAAAATATTTATAAAGCATTGTGCGTTGTATCAATAAACAGACGTCTCTTAGATCCTGGTTGCTTCCAACTAAGTCTTACACATCTTGAGATTAAATGTATCCAAAACCACCAGCTCCCTCTTCTGACCTCTACGGACTCCCGCACACTTGTGTGAATACACAAACAGGCATATAAGTAAATAATAAAGAAAAATGTTTTAAAGAAAGATCGAAATTATAGCAATCCTTTTTACAGTGTCTGGGAACGTTTGTCCATTCTTCTCTGTTTTCAGGAAGACTTTAGTAGACAATCACTTGAGAGAAGAATGAAAACAGCCATAGAATCAAACAGATGACAATTAGTGGCTCACTTAAGAAAGCTGATACTTTGCCTACAGATGCTCAAACGCTAACTTCTCATCTTCTTTGGAAATTTTCTCTTTCCTGAATGTAAACTGATGGTTGACTGAATAAATAGGCATTCTCTCAGGGCGGCGCAGGTCCCGAGTAGGCATTGAAAACACAGGGGTAAATGAGACCTAGCTTCGTGCCTCCAGGAAGGAGTCGGTGACGATGGCTATGCATCCCAATGGCATCCAAAGGGCATAGGGGTGCTGCAGCAAGGGACTGAGAAAGGACAGTTGGAAGAGCCTTCCCAATGTTCATACGCATGCTTTGTATTTGGGGATCAATTTTTAAAACTGACAAGCTAGTTGAAACATGAATCCTGGAATCTGCCTGAGAGAAATCTGTTCTGGGTTTCCAGGGCTTTCTTTGTATAAATATTCAACAGCTGCTCTGTGGCAGCTAAATATCTGTGAACAAATCTGGACAGGACATAAGCACAGCTCTGATGAGCCCTGAAAGGCCCTGGTGTCACCACCACAGTCAGCCTGGACCTTTTCAAAGCCATGAACTACTCAGAGAAGGGACTGTGAATTCTCAAGTGCTTCTTTTGAATCCATGGCAACATGAAGCAACCATAGAAGCAGACTGTTTTGAATATGTATGTGTATGTTCCACTGTCCTATGATTGCACATGAAGAACTCATAAAATCCATTGTGTTGAGAAGAACTTTGGAAGTGACAAAATGTCGTCCCTCTTTCAATGACTCACTAAATAAATAACTTCAAATGGACTGTATTGTTACCTGCTCATCATTAAAATCTACCAACAACTGAGACATTGAGAAATGTGATTTTTCCTAGATTTTATTTCATTTCTTAATATGAACCATGAATAATATAAATCACTATATGAACAGATAGATTACACCCATTAGAGAAAAAAAATCCAGATTTGTTTTTCAACCACTCCTTTGTAGAGACCATAACCAAAGGTTTCAGGAAAGCCTCAAGTTACAAAAAAATATTGTTAAGAATTAACTATATTGTTTAGAAACACAGGTATCACCTTTTCATGATTGAAATGAAAAGTGAAATACATTCTCATTTTGTGTAATTCCCTGGGATTTTGCATCATACTGTTCAATAGCTCAAAGACCTTTCTTGTCACATTTATTCATATTTGAAGGAAGAACAGTTGAAATATTAAACAGAATTTTTTAGAGAACGCAAAGAGAATACATTTTTTAGAAAAAGAAAACAGAAAACACGTATTTTCCTCGTGCATTGTCTTACCAACAGTGAAGCTGTGTGCATGCCGTTCATCTTATAATGGAATTGTAGGTTACTCAGAGCACTACGTGCAAAGACTTTATTATTAATAATGGCTTTGACATCATAAAGATTAATGTATTGTTGCTGTGAAATCAATTGCTTGAAATAAGTTTAGAAAATGATTCAGCTGAGGGATGATTGGAGTTGAATCTGAACAAGAACATCTAAGTACCTCGAGTCATGAAACAGTCTCCAAGTCAAATGCAAGTGCTTTAGATCATCCACACTCACTCTGTCAACAGCTCATTCCAGGAAAGAACAAAAGGACTTGCTGCCTGTCACTTCATACATCCAAGCACTGAGAATGCCCACAGTCACATTCCAATTCTCCCACAATATTTCCTACCAACTCCAGAGTGCACACCTGCTAGTTTCCTTACACATGCCTTCCATAAAGAACATTAGAGTTAACTGGTCGGGGGAAAAAAACCCAACTGATTGAGCATTACAGGATCAGTCTAAAACTTATCAGTATTACTCAGGGGTATGCTGTCAGTCGAGAAATAACTATGACACGTTTAAAAAGAAAGACCCAGAACAGACACACTGCAAACCATAAAACACTGACAATGAGCCATGGTGTCGGTATTGTTGAATCATCCGCACCCAGAATATACTTTTAGTGAAGACAGGTTTATAAAAAAAAAGTACCTAGTGCTTGCCCATGTTTATGACAGTGTGCAAAATTCGCTTTACTATCCCTGCCCCCCACTTTCTCTGAAATTCTACAAGACTTGGCTACGACAAAGCTACCAGATTACAAAAAATGTGATGCCCACACAGATAAGCTTTTATTCTTCTATTGATGGGGCTGTAGACTCAAGAACATCTCTAATACATGCTTCTTCACACTTTTCAACAAACTACAGAAGCACATTAGGTCACACGGATATCTAATGTTCTTTTCCTCCCAAAGAGAGAGAGAGAGAGAGTGTGTGTGTGTGTGTGTGTGTGTGTGTGTGTGTGTGTGTGTGTTTCATGAAGTGAGTGTATGGTTATGTATAACTGGGCATGCACATGCAGATGCCACATCATGACTTCAAATGCTTTGAGACAGGGTCTCTCACTGGACCAGAAACTTAACCTTTCTGCTAGACGGGCTAACCAACAAAGTGTTTGGGATCTGTCTGTCTTGTTCGCCCTCCTGATGCTAATTTTTACAAGCATGCATAGCTATGCAGTTTTTTTTATGTGGTTATTGGGATTTGAACTTGGCTCCTCAAGTTTGCAGAGCAAGAGCTCTTGCTCATTGTAAAATATCTCCAGCCCTTTTGCTGTGGGATATTTGTTTTACTCTGTAAAGATGTGTTACTTTAATTAGCTAAATAAAATTAACCTACACTCAGAGAGGTGAGGTTAGCAACTTTTTGACAGGAAGTAGCAAGAAGGAGCTTTTTTGGGGGGGTTATGACAAAGGAGATAGCTTTTAAAGAGGGAATTCTGAGATGGTTACATGATATTCCTTTCTCCTCCAATCTCAACTCGAAGTTATTTGTCCTCCTTGAAATCTACAAGTATAGTGAGACTTTGCGCACACCCTGACATAAAAAAAAATCATCATGGAGCTGTATCCAAGTCTCAATCCCAAGGTCAGTAATGGATTAGAAGAGGAACTAGCGTGGTTTTACCATTTACACCTGTACCTTTGTGAAGTGGAAGTTGTTCCTAATCCTAGAAAAGCCAAGGAAGAGTGAGTAAGAGAACGAAAATTCCCTGTACCAGGACTTGGAGGGTACAAGAACATAATAATCAACAGTCCTTGCTAGTATGAAATGCATAAAGTTAGGGGTAGTGACAACACACAGTACCTCAGCAGGTGAATGGCAGCCTCCTGCCTTTGCAGCAGAGTCTACATAGTAGAAACCTCTCTGTGTCTAGCGCGTGGTAGCTCCCACAGTATGAGAGGATGAACACCTCTAACATTCAACTAGAACTGAGAGACGATAACTCAACAAGGAAAAATCGCAACTCATCTAGGTGAGACCATTGCCAAAAGAAACTGAGCAAATATTCAACGAAACAATTCCTGGAGGAAAGAGAGGGACTCTGTGAACACACACGCACGCGCACACACACACACACACACACACACACACACACACACTAATATATAGTAGTAATAATAGCAACAATAATAATAATAACAATAATAATAGTACTGAGATTTTTCAAAGGGGGAGTCTCTTCTTAGTACTTTTACCACAGCAACCATTGCCTAGGCCAAACCTTCTCTGTTGCCCGTGACTTTTCATCTGTCTTCTACTTCTCTCCCTGCTGTGTCTTCTCCGTTACACAAGCCAAGCTTGTCTACTGAAAGCCAGTGCATGATTTGTGAAAGATCTGGGCACTTGACGTTTTGTCTGTAAATCTCCAAACCCTCATAAGAGCAAGGGAGCATAAAGAAAAGAACCGAAACAAAATCCCACAGGGAGTGTGTACAGCAGCAGCAGTGAGAGGTTGCACCACATATTTCAAAACACAAGGAACTGATCAGAAATCATTGAGATCTGCCTTTGACTAAGAGAAGACACAGGTAGGCTTCTGTTGATTCTGACAGTGAGAATTCTAAAATCGCAGGCAAATCCCATCTTTAAATGTTTGTTAATTCCAGCTCCAGGGGATTCAGCATCCTTATACATGCAGACAAAGCACCAAGGCACATGAAATAAAAATGAATAATAAATTATTAAGCCAGTTGGTGGTGGTGCATACCTTTTAATCCCAGCACTCAGGAGGTAGAGGCAGGCAGATCTTTTTTAGTTCAAGACCAGCTTGTTCTACAAAATTAAGTCCTAGGAAGCCAGAGCTATATGGAGAAACCCTGTCTCCAAAGACCAACCAATCAACAAAAAAATAAATAAATAAAACCTAAAAAGAAAAAACTATACATTTGACTTGGATTGTAAAAACTGGTTAAAGGAATAGTAAAACTGATTATTCGTTTCCTTAAAGGCAATTATCTTAGACTGAGTACATAGTTTTATCTAATCTCAAGACATTATCAATTTGGCTGCCATGTTTAAGAAAAGTTCAGATTTTCTATGTGCAGGAGGTATTTTCAGAAAAAAATGTATCACCACACAGCCCCACAATAGAGTCTCTCTTGAACTATAAGAAAAAATGATAATTTTAAAAAATAATTCATATAATGACCTAACCCAGATACTCTGGTCCCAATGCATAATGCACAGGAAACATTAAAAACTAAGGCAAAATTACTTATCTAAAAATTACTTATCCCACAAAAATGTCCTCCAATGATAATGAACTACATGAGATCTTAGGAAAGAAATTCAAAAGAGTAATTGTAAGTATAGTCAATGAAATCAAAGAGGACAGAAATAAATTCCTGAATGAACTCCAAGAGAACACAAAGAAACAGCTGAAAGAAATAAAGAAACCAACACAGAGTATTAAAGTGGGATTCAATAATGAAATAGAAATACTTAAAATATCACATTGAAAAACTGGAAATGAAAAGTCCAAGAAGTCAAATCAATGTTCTGTGGAAAATAACCAATATAGCAGATCAAGGAAGGACAGTGTATTCATGCTGAAAGGCAAGGTAAATCAATCATAACATTTAGACAATGAAAAGAAATGAATCAATAATGATATGAACAGAACATTTGAGATCTGTGAGCACTATAAAAAAGACCATACAAATAAACCAGATATAAGAAGACTTCCAAACTAAAGGAATAGAGAAATATTTTCAGTATTTCACAGAAGAAAATTTTACAAATCAAAAGAAAAAGATGCCATCTGGGTTCAGGAGAAGTTTAGATCACCAAACAGACAAAAAAATCAGAGAAGGATATCTTCAAGGCAGAAAATAGTTTAAAAAGCAGATGGCAGAGCAAATAAATTGAACAAAAAATGGTAACAGAGAAATAGTAAGTCCTATGTAAAGGCAAGCCTATCAAAATAACAGAAGATTCCCCAATATAAACTTCAAAATTCAGCTGGACTCTGAATAATGGTATGTGTGCATGTCTATGTGCCATGTAAATGTGTGTTTGAATTTATTCTAGGGGAAAATAATGGGACAAAATTAAAACAAGATGAGATAGACAATTTAAACAGATCTATAGCAGGTGACATCATTGAACTGCCATTAACAATAATAAACAAATCTTCCAACATAAAAAAATCCACGTCCACATGGATTCACTGATGAAGTCTATTAGACTATTAAAGAACTAAAAGCAATGAGTCTCAGACTATTTCATAAATATAAAAGGCAGCAATGCTACTAAACTAAACTCTTTTTATGAAATTACCATTAATTTGATACCAAAATACAGCAAGAAGAAGTTGTAGTCAGCAAGAAACTCAGATGCAAAAATTCTCAATAAAGTGATTAGAAACTGAAATCCAGAACATATAAACATATAAAATAAATCTTCACCATAATCAAGTTGGCTTTGTTACAGATATATATATATATGCGTGTGTGTGTGTGTATATATATATATATATATATATGGTTGAGCATAAGTAACTCAACAGATGTCATATACTACAAAATGTACTTGAGAATAGAAATCTCATAGTTACGTGAATAGATTCTGTAGAGTTGTAACAAAAGCTTTTTCATGCTAGAGCTTTGAAGTGACTAGGAGCGTTTCTCAACATAACAAAGGCTAACTGCGCAAATCCATAGGCAACTCTTCGGTAAAGAGAAACTCAGAGCATTTCCGCTAAAATTTGGCATAAGACAGTGGTGGCCACTTTCTACACTTCCATGTGATACAGTACCTGATGTCATAGCCAGAGCAATGAAACAAAGGCAATATGTGGGGACAAATAGGAAAACAAGTCAAATTACCCTTATTTACAGATGGTAAGATTCTCTGCCGGAAATCCCGAGGACTCCATCAGAAAGTGCATACAGCTGATCAACACTTTCGGCCTCTTGTCAGGGCACAAAATCAGCAGAGAGAAAAATCAACAGGCTTCCCACACGCTATCACACGTGCTGCAAAATAGATCCAGAAAACAATCCTAGGCTGGTGAGATCGCTCAGTGGGTAAGAACAGTGACTGCTCTTGCAGAAAACAATCCTGTTCACCGTAGCCTCATTTTACATTTATTTTGTAAGAGAAGGCTGGCTAAAGAATGTACTGTAAAGGGAAGCCTTTTCCTTGAGAGGAGCCTTCCCTCCAGCCTGGTTCCAGAGCTGCATGAGTCCCAAATAAACACACAGGAGACTATATTAATTATGAAGCTGTTGGCCTTGCTTGTCTCTTACTGGCTAGCTCTGACTTAAGTAATTACCCCATAATTGTTAATCTAAGTATTTCTCTTACCGGAGAACTTTCCGGGCTTCCTACCCCATGGCGGTTACATCTCGACTCTCTGTGTTTCTCCTTCCCAGAGTTCTCCTGGACTCCTAGTCCCACCTAGCTAGATTCCTATTGGCCAGCAGTGCTTTATTGACAAATGCACAGGACTTCCCCCCAACAATGTACTACATACACAGTGGATTTTTTTCAGCTGTGCGAAATAGTGGTGGTCTTTGCAAGAAAGTGGATGCAGCTGGGGGGATGATTAAATGAATTAGATCAGTCTCGGAAGGACAAATACGCGTGTTTTCTCTGACTTGTGGCTCCTGAATTTTAGATTTACATTTAATTTATGTATGCATATATGAAGGTAGAAACAAAACCATCTATCTGAACAAAGGAAAGTATGGGAAGGGAAAGTGTGATATGCTCAGTGTATGTCTATTGCTTCTATAAAGATGTCCTTATGTAACAGTATCGTGTGCAACGGATGTACACAACAAAATTGCTTAAAGAAGGAAGATGAGGTAGAGGGAAGAGAAGGAGGTAAGATACTCTGGAGCAGAGGAGGGAGAAGATGAGAATAAGAATGCAGAGGAGATGGGAGGAGTAAAGGACAGAGGGAAAGAGAGGAGGGAGGGTAAAGAGAGAAAATACAGCAGGAGACAGAAGCCGGAAAACAGAAAATCCTCACTGTCCAGCTCTCAGCTACCTACAGAGGATCAGCCATGTGAGCCAGCCTCTGTGTCTCCCTGGCTATCTTTCCAACTGGCCAGTGATAGAGGAGCTAGGCCGAGAGGAAAAGACAAGAGGGAGATTTCAGAAAGGCAAATCCAGATAGTGCCCTGGACACATTTCCCCTGAAATGTTAGGGAGAAAAGAGCAGGTCATGCTGCTGACTTCTCTCTCGGCATCTACAGTAAGCCTCTGTGTTCTCCCGGAGGGTGGGAAGCTTTCCCATAGTGATTAAGCTTCAGCTGGGATGAAGTAAGGTATGATCACTGAAAATAACCAGAAAAGAAGGGATGACTAAGAAATCAGTGAATAATCTACTATCCAGGAGAGACGCTGATTCAGATGAATCCAGTCGTAAGCATTAATTTGATAAAAATAAATTCAGAATTCTTGTGCTTTCATCTGTCTGATTTGGCATCCCTCGAGGAAACACAACTCCCACAGAGAGTGTCAGCATCAACAACACAGCTGGTGGACACAACAGACACATAGGAATATGGGCAGAGCATGAATGCATAGCTCTGCAGTGAGATTTTCCACAAGGGAGCAGGAGATACAGCTATGCATTGTGGCAATCTTTCTGAAATAATGAAGACTGCAAGGCTTTCTAAGTGTTCATGAACTGCAAAAACAATCTGCAATGTACTCAAACAAATGAGCAGGATACAGCAGCTAGAATGGGTTCAACTAGAAAAAGAATGCTCAATAAAATTAAAATTGTGAAGACCACACCACTGGATGAAATATTTAGCTAAAACTTTGAAACTTGAAGAAGAGTAAACACACAAGTGTTTCAGACACACACATACTACAGAAGTGCAAAATTGTAGGCTCACCCACAATCAGATCCAGAAAGAGGAAGGAATGCAGAATGAGAAGACCCTCCTTCTGCTTCAGTTTTCTCCACTAAACACATTAAAGCCCTGAAACAAAACACGGTGACATGTCAGCCTCCCTCACCTCTTTCTTATACCGGGTTTCCAAACAGTCTGGTATTGGCTATCAGTATTCAGTGAAAATCACAGCAGTTTGTTGCCCTCAGATAGATCTAATTATCCAATTATTGAATCTATGTCCAGATGTACATTCAAATACTGCAAGTATCACAAAGCAAGAGGTTGGGTCTGTGTAATTATGTTGTCACTTTCCTGGGAGGGTTGTTCTTCCCGGGCTCCAAAGATCACATCTACTAGACAGCCTTCTCCATGCCTCTCTGTAATTCAAGCCCAGCTCAACAGAAAGCAATTAACTTGATTGCTGCTTTTTTCTTATTCAGTTAATGTAAGAAGTTTGCACATAGAGATTCTGACATTCATTATATTGCATATAATTACACCAAGCCATGGTTCAATTCTCTAAGTGGATGGGGTGTCCGAATCCAAGACAAATCCCACCTTTACTCACGGAGGGAATCGTATACAGGGAGACATGATAATAGTAATATAGACAGACAGAGGGGTGACTGGATGAGGAAAGAGACATTTGATACTCTCAAGACTATTTCTCCCCCAGAGCCCCCCCAAAGTCCAGTAATGTGCACAAGCTGAACCGGAAGAAGGCTTTTGCTTCTGGGTTTTCAGTGGTATGTAACTCAGATTCTTTTGACAGAGGCCAACATTCTTGTAGAACCACAGGCAGTCTCTTCAAGTCAAATTCACTTGAAGCCTTTTAGAAATCGCTTCATGACGTCTCCCCAGCCAATGGGACCTGACAAATCCCCAAACTGGATTTGGTAACCCCCAAGTGATGGGAGAAGGCCTTCTGTGTATATGTTGTCCTACTGGTTGATAAATAAAGCACTGTTGGCCAATGGGGAAGCAAGATAGGTGGGACTAGGAGTCTAGGAGGATTCTGGGAATTGTAGTCAAGAGTGGAGAGTCGCCTTGTGATCCCTGGAGGATAGGATGTGTCAGGATGTCATCCTCAGAAAGATAAGTCCTTATAAAAATATATATTAGTAATTGCTGGTTAATAATTAAGTCAGAGCTACATAGCAAGTGGCCAACAACTTCATAATTACTATGGTGTCTCCTGGGTTATTTGGGGGCTGAGACAGTGGCGGGACCCAGGCAGCTGGTGGGAAGAATGCATGTTACACCCAAGTAATCCAACAGAACTTCCAATGCTTGTCATTCTAAAACGTGTAGCCAATATGATGCACTGAGTTGAAGCCCTTCCTTGGCCTCCTTGGGACCAGCCCAGTTGAAAAGGGGATAGATTAAAACAGTAGGAATACCCTGTGAGCAGGATGATAAATGCAGAATATGCTTTATTATGTTGAGTGCTGAGGCAAAACAGGTGTCTAGATGATTATCACTAGATAAATGGAGACTTAAGACTCAAATTTTACAAATGTACGGAGAGAATGCATACAAAACAAATTCAAAGCATCATGTCAACCCAAAAATCTTTATAAGTGTCATAGAAAACAATGAATTTGATAAATCTTTTGAAACTGTAATACGAAATTTTAGGACAGAACTGGAACTGGGAACTATCAAATCTACAATAATGCAAATTTATCCAAACGCATTCATGCCTGTGTCATCAAAGTTGGTGGATATACAGTGCAAGACAACACATAATATTTCTCGTTGCTTATATTGCATTTAGAATTTAATAAAAAGACAGAGCCTCCCCTCCCAGCGGGAGCCTACACACCCAAAATTCCTGGTCTTCTTTTCCACCAACGGGACCAGGTAAACCAGGCCATGTATCCAGACCTGCCTTCCAGTGCCTGGAGACTGCCACTGAGTCTCCCCTCCAGATGGGAGGCTACGCACCACAGATTCCCGGTCTTCTTCTCCATCCAGGGGACCAGGACTAGAACCAGGAAGAGGAGAACTACCGGAGTATTGGACTTGCTTGCACTTCCTGAAAGGGAACTCTGGTACCCTAACCACCAGGCCAGTGAGAGGCTCTTTCTGTACCCACTAGAAGAAGGGATAGGAAAGATACAATACAAAAACACACTCAGCAACAGAAAAACAAATATGATACCACCAGATTCTAGAGACTCCACACCAGCAAGACTCCAATATTCCAATGCAAATGAAGCAAAAGAGAATGACTTTAAAAACAACTTCATGAAAATGATAGAGGCCCTCAAAAATGATATGGAAAATCACTCAAAGAAATGGAAGAAAAAAAATGCAAGAAATGGAAGAAAAAACAAACCAAAAATTCAAAAAATGCAACAAATGGACCAAAAGACAAAGCAAAAATTGCAAGAAACAATTCAAACAGCGCAACAGTTGAAAACTGAAATAGAGACAATAAAAAAACACAATCTGGAGGAAGGCAGGAAATAGAAAAGCTGGGCAAACAGTCAGGTACTACAGATGCAAGCATTACCAACAGAATACAAAAGATGGAAGAGAGAATCTCTGGTGTTGACAATACAAGAACACATCAAAACAATCATTCATCACTACGCATGATCAAGTAGGTTTCATCCCAGGGATGCAGGGATGGTTCAACATATGAAAATCCATCAGTGTAATCCCCCATATAAACAAGCTGAGAAACAGAAATCACATGATCATCTCACTAGATGCAGAAAAAGCCTTTGACAAAATCCAACACCCCTTCATGATAAAGATCTTGGAGAGATGTGGAACAACAGGAACAAACCTAAAAATAATAAAAGCTATATACAGCAAACCAACAGCCAACATCAAACTAAATGGACAGAAACTCAACGCAATTCCGCTAAAATCAGGAACAAGACAAGGCTGTCCATTCTTTCCATACCTCTTCAATATTGTACTTGAAGTTCTAGCTAGACCAATATGACAACAAAAGGAGAGCAATGGGATACAAATTGGAAAGGAAGAGGTCAAACTTTCATTATTTGCAGATGATATGATAGTTTACATAAGTGATTCAAAAAAAACTATACCAGGGAATTCCTACAGCTGATAAATACTTACAACAAATTGGCAGGATACAAGATCAACTCAAGAAAATTAGTAGCCCAACTATATACAGGCAATAAAAGGGCTGAGAAAGAAATCAGAGAAACATCACCCTTTACAATTGCCACAAACAACATAAACCAAACAAGTAAAAGACCTGTATGGCAAGAACTTTGTGTCTTTAAAGAAAGAAATTAAAGAAGACATCGGAAAATGGAAAGATCTCCCATGCTCTTGGATAGTTAGGGTCAACGTAGTAAAAATGGCAATCCTGCCAAAAGCAATCTACAGATTCAATACAATCCCCATTAAAATTACCAGCAAAATTCTTCACAGACCTTGAAAGAGCAATAATCAACTTTGTATGGAAAAACAAAAGACCCACGATAGCCAAAACAACCTTATTTAAGAAAGCAACATC